AGTTCTAGGAACATTTGTAAAAGAGAATATTCCTGAAATTGACAATTTTCATGTAAAACAAAGTCAAACGAACACCAAAATATAGGTGATTTTTTGATCTTTTTTTTTTCCTTTTTTTTTTTGGTTGGCAATAAAAACAAATTCTAGAAACAATGGTAGAAGTTGATATCCCTTAAACTGACAATTTTCATGTAAAACAAAGCCAAACGAACACCAAAAAATACTTTTACTTCAACATTTTTCACGTAGAAAATTATACCAATCAAACACAATAATTTACAATTCTCAGAAAAATAATTTCTAGGTAATTCAATTCCCTGGAATTCATTTTTTTCCACCAAATTTCATCTTTGCAATCAAACAAACCCTTAATTCTTGTTAAACATTGAATTAAAACAAACTTTCCATAACCCTTAAAAAAATTAATTCAATAAACATACAGTTACCATCTTAATCAAGTGAGAAATTGAAGACCCTAGCTTGAAGCCGCCTCCTCTTCCTCATCATTCTTTTCCTCATCCTTTTTCTTCTTTTCTCTTTTCTTCTCAATCTCTCTCGGCCCTTTTCTCTTTTTTCCCCAAAAAATGAGAAAATGGATAATATGCCCTTGTTTGAGCCCCAATTTTTGGGAAAAAAATGAATTTTTCAAATAGTGTATTGATGAAAATTGTATGATTAAAAAATAAGAAAATTTTTTTGATTTGCATGTAAAATAATTTTATTAAAAACGTATGGTTGAAATGATGTCAAAATACTGTTTAAAAATGTATTTTCCTGAAAAGAATGGGGCTCAAACAAGGGCTATGTATGATATCTAACGGATAAATATTGAATAATTGCAAGTCAAGTCCCCCTATCTTCATACAATATCACATTTAGTTATTTCATTTCCCATAATAGAAATTAAATCATTGGATTCCTTTATTATATCATTTCTAGCCCTCATTTACTTGAAATTACAATTTAAGTCCCATGAAAATTATTTGCTAAAATTAAGCCCTTATTGACTTTGATTTTGACCAATTATATTTCTTGACTTTGACTAAAAATGAGGGGTGTGACATGTGGCGGGGATGGTGATGGTGACGTGGTTTTCAGATTCGGGTGGTGGTTGTTGTGATAGTGGTGAGATAGTAATATTGGTGGCAGTGGTGTTGTGTTATTGTTATTTTCGATGGTCGTTGTGACGGTGGTGGTAGAGGTGGCGGGGCAATGACGGTGTGGGATGAAGTGTCTGTGACCAACTATTTAATCGATTTGTGACGAAGTATTGGTGGTGGATCGGGGATTGAGATCGGGTGTTTGGGTGTATGTGACTAATTATTTGATTCTTTGTGATTAACTGTTAAAATGTGATCTTAAAATTCAATAATTTGTAACTAAAAAAATAATATTTGACCACTAAATTTGAAAATATGTGATCGATAGATAAATCGTGACCTATAATTTTTTAATCTGTGATCAATTAAATAAATTGTGACCTATAAAATTATTGATTTGTCACCTCTAAACAATCTGTGATCAATAATTTGACAATATATGACTGATAAATAAAATGTGACCTGTAATTATGTACATGTGACCAATAATTGTATAACTGTGACATTATTATATTTAATTAATAAATATATTTAATTAATTACATCATACTTGAGTTTTGCATCTTCAAACCAGACACCTTACTTGTGATTTGGTGTAAACTAAATCACTGAGTTATAATTTTTTCCCTATTCTTTTTTTCCCCCTATTTGCACCAATTTTTTTAAGGGTATGTTTGCCCATTTGTTATACAATAAATTTTAATTCTAAATTTAATTATATCATCATCATCATTATGTGTATTTGTAATAAATTTGAATCTTTTAATCAATAATAATTAATTATGAATACTATTTCGACTTTGTAATATAATGATATTGCGATTCCAAACATATTACACTCTTTTTGAGATTATGATTTAATATTTGCTTAGTTGTTGTATTTCTATTAATTGTAGTATTTTTAAAATTTATTAATGAACTCAATATATTTGTTAACTAAATGTAATTATTTATTTAATAATTTATGTAGTAATAAAATAAATAAATAAATTATTTAGAATTAAAAAAATGAAGAAAATTATTATACACTATTTATTTGGTGCAACTTCTGATGTAATGGGTTAGAGGTGATTTTTTGTTTGGTGCAAATTTTGGTGCAAGATTGGAGATAATCTAAGAGGTTAAAAATCTAGTCCATCTATGAATTCTTACACATGCTATGATGCTAACAAATAGTACCCAAACTTTAAATTGTAGATATTTAAACTTTAAATTTAAAGGAAAATTTCATAAGTAAGAGATTAATTATCTCACATTTCAAAAACAAGAAAACAAGTTTCAAATTTCAAAAATCAGATTTTTATTAAAAATTATTTATAATTTAATTAATTAAGTAAGTAATTAAATATATTTAAGTCATAGATTTATATAATTTGTTCACAAATTAATGATTTAATTCGTCACTTATTATTTTTTGATCACAATTCAAAAATTTTATAGGTTACAATTTGTTTATCGATCACAAATCGAAAAATTTTTAGGTCACAAATTATTTTTTGGTCACAAATCGAAAAATTATCATTCACGGATTAACATTTTTTTATGTCAAGCATTATTTTTCGATCACAATTTATATTTTTCATTGGTTACAGATTATTTATTGGTCACAGTCAACTACATAATTTATGACCACCACCAAGACTTACTATTCACGGTCACAATTTTTAGGTCACGTATCCAATTGTGAGTCACAGTCACAATTTTCGGATCATGTATCCAATTGTGAGTCACAATTGAGAGTCACGGTCACAGTAACAATTTTCATCGCCACCACGATCGTCGCCACACACCAACATCACAGTTGGAAGTCACAGTCACGGTCCACAACCGCCCCAAATCATAGCCACCACCGTCCCTGCCACACACCAACACCACACTCTTTCACAGATGGCCAACAAATCCACGACACCACACACCTCCATAGATCGCCACTGTCGCGGCCACAAAAACACCTCCACCAGATCGTCGCCACACAAACACTAGATCGCCGCCACACATCATCACTGTCACCATTACCGCCACCACCACCACCACCACCACCACCATCAAGCTACCATTTGTAAACCATATCCACCGACACCCAACCAATCAAGAACTCGCCATTGGTCACCCCTTTCCACCGCCAACATTCTTCACCTCGTTGATAGATCTTTCATCCTCATCAACACACCTCGTCGACTGCCACTCCAATATTCTTCGTATCGCTGGCAGCCACTTGCCCAACCAACCACCATACAATGTTGCCACCAGATCCACCACAACCTACACCGACCAACTGTAGAGCAACAATCATCACCGACCTGGCCGAATCCGTTCTCGACGTTCCCCTCGCAAGCTGCGACGACACAGTAGCGGTGATGTCGCTTCACATCATACGCTGCTCCTTGCCGTCACAAGGCTCACACAAGAGGAGTTTCTGCAGCAGCATCCCCGGCGGCGACGATCTGATGGCAGAGACGAGTGGTGGAGAGTGATGGGAGAGGAGAGAATGATTTGGCCAGCTGCCAAAGTTTGAAAAGGAGAGAGGAAGAGAGAGGGGCGAGTAGGCGACTGTAGAGAGAAAGGGGAAAATGAAAATAAATTAGGGTTGAATAATTTGTATTATAATCTTAATTTAATATTAATTTTTAAATATATGAATTAATGAAAAAAATTTCAAATTTATGAAATACTAAACATGTCATCTTATTTATAAAATGTGAATTTTTAATCTATTAGAATATGTAATTTCCACTAAATTTAACTATGTTTACCTTGTTGCTAAAATTAATTTTGTCCAAAGAGACTAACAACAATATTGATTTGATCAACAAGACGATAATTGGAGTTTGGTGTGACCATGGATGTTAGCTAATAAAATAAAAAATCGTAACATGTCATAAACTGAGAGACAAACCAGATTTCTATTTCAGTATCAACATATATACACTTAATATTTCTCTCTGGGGATGACAACTAGCAGCACAAGGTTGGACAGAAATAAAAATATCTTTATTTCTTATTGCATTTATTATTTATTTTTATTTAAACTTAAAATAAAATAAAAATAACAATAGAGACATTTTAGCATCCCTCTCTCTTGTTTAATGGATTGTTTATAAGTTTCTCTTTCACAACACAAAGTCCAAAGACGTATGTCCACTGGCCCATCACTTACTTCAGTTATTGGGCTAAATATTTTTCTCTTAACCGCCCAAAACAATGTCTAGGTGGACTTTCGTTGCAAAATCACATGAACAAATTTACTTATTTTACCAAAATTAACCTCAAGTGAATATTTAAAGTATACACTCGAAACATATAAATAATTGAAGGTAAATCTACTAAAATCTGATATTTAGCTAAATTCAATAGGGGGATTAAATTTGATATTAACCTTCTCGTCCTTCTCAACATGTCAACAATTTACTACATCCACGGTCAAGTCAGACATTAATTTTACTCACGAAAGATCACATAATAACTAGAGTTGAAAGCAAATTGAAATTTAATAATTTCATCAAGACGTTGAAAAGATAATAATGAATTATCCAATTTAGATTTTCACCATAATTAAATGGCCTAAATTTAAATGAACCGTTTGTATCTAGCACAACAAAAGAAAGAAAGGAAAATGAAAATATATGGGGAATTTAATAACAAAGTAGATAAGAATAACCATCAGCTTTTATGGGAATTCAATAATTTGGAAATAAGAATATATAGCCCTTGTTTGGGTCACGTTATTTTCATAAGAATGCATTTTTGAATAGTCTGTTGATAGGAAATGTGTGGTTAATAATTAATGAAAAGTTTTGAATTTACATGTAATATTATTGTGGTTGAAATGATGTCAAATAACTGTTTAAGAATGTATAAAAGCAAAGCAAGAACCAAATCATTATCCTAGATTCGAGCCTCTTTTGAGAAATTCAAAATAAATAGATAAAATCTAACGACGGGTTTGATCTCCTGCAAATCAGATTTTCAAACCATACTAGGATTTATCAATTACATTAACAGTTTATTTCTAATGTGTTTTACTTTTACATATGATCAAATCATCCAACAAAAATCACGCAGAAGTTGTCCTCCGATAATGTCCCTACCAAACTATCGATTTTGTACAGCAAAGCCATTGGCTACATACCCTTCACCATGTGCTGCATTTACTGTGTAAGTTTCTGAGAAACCTACATTCTGATGAAGACCAAGAGTTAAGGAAACACCGCCACTTCCGCCAGCATTACTCATGCCCATATGATGTGACAAATTATCATATGGAAAAGTCACCAGCCCCTCGCCGCCCATAGGAGTTCCAGTTAAGTCATTCCCAGCGAGTTTTGATGGCAATGTTTCAATTCTTGGTATCGAGGTGGATGCATTTTCACATTCAACTGGACAACTTATAGGCAAGTGATTGTTTAACCTGTTGGTACTTTGCTCCTCTCTTTGCGAAGATTTTTGGGTTTGACGCGTTTCAAGCATGTGTATATCCTCTACCATAGGCTTCCAAAGCCTTACTCTTGCGTTGATAAACCAGTTTGAGACCTGATCCATATATACATATAGTTTTAGATGATATTTGCATTAAACAATACATTTATATGAATCTTGAAAAGGAGAAAACATTCATGTATTTAAGTAGATGTGCACCTGGTTCCTCGTGAGACCTGTCTGTTTTGCTAACATTATCTTGTCCGTGTCAGTCGGATAGCTGTAACAGCAACGGTTTCTGTTAAGCTTAAGTTTAAGAACATGAAATGAAGGGAAATATACTGCTAAGTGGCGTAAATAAAAACTTACGGGTGTAGAAAGTGTTCAAACAACCAGGCCCGGAGAACAGTAACAGCTCGTTCCGGAAGTCCTCTTTGAGATCGCCATACAGGTTGATCCATGAATCCAGCATTGTGAAATGGTCTTTTGCTCTGAATCCCGACTTCAGAATTCCCGAATTTAGCCTCGATTCTCTCATAACTTAGTGGACCGTGAGATTTTATGAACTGCAGCTGATCAGTAATGACATTCTTTAAACACCTGAAATGTTTGGACATGGTTTTTAAAGCCAATTTTGCGAATGGCGCTGCATGGCTAAGTCCGGCGACAGATTCAAACGAGGCAACTACCGACTGCATAAGTTGATAATAGTGCTTGTATCTCCTGTAAACCTAATACAAGTAGAATCTTAGTCAGTTTTCGCAGATGTTAAAGTTTCTCAAGATACTTTATTGAACTTTGGTAGTCCACAATAATTACCTACGAATGAATATTGAAGAAGACGCATGAATCTTGAAATTCATGAATGTTGGCACAGAAGAATTATATACCACTACATTGAAAAGAAGGATTATAAATCTATAGGATTCTTGAATACAAATCAAATGTATTAGTCTAGAGTACATGTATGGGATTCTTGTAAAGTTAATTAGCCAAATAGTCACTGAATTTTGCCAAAATGTTCCAAGAGGTCATCGAACTTCAAAACTTCCCTAAATAATCACTGAACTCAGGCGGTCACCGAATTTCAAAACTTTCCTAAATAGTCACTAAATTTGCAAAAAGTTCCTAGGGGTCTCTAAACCAGTGATGTATGGGGTCTCAATTTGAAAGCTGAGCGACCATCTAGGAACTTTTTGTAATGTTCAGTGATCATTTATGAAAGTTTTGAAGTTCGGTGACCTCCTGGGAACTTTTGGCACAGTTTAGTGACTATTTAGGAAAGTTTTGAAGTTCGGTGACCTCCTGGGAACTTTTGGCACAGTTTAGTGACTATTTAGGAAAGTTTTGAAGTTCGGTGACCTCCTGGGAACTTTTGGCACAGTTTAGTGACTATTTAGGAAAGTTTTGAAGTTCGGTGACCTCCTGGGAACTTTTGGCACAGTTTAGTGACTATTTAGGAAAGTTTTGAAGTTCGGTGACCTCCTGAGAACTTTTGTCAAAATTTAGTGACTATTTGGAGAATTAACTCGATTCTTGTACATACATTAACTATAATGCTCCTACTAGTAGTGTAAATAGGACGAGACTTAGGATGGTTTTCTCGAGCAATTGTAAGAGAAACAGATTGTTAAAGAGAATAAACTTTCCCTTGCAGCATTCTAGTGAATTAGAGTAATGTTTGGTTTAAATTTTGAGCCCACTTCGCTTCTAAATAAGCGGTACCATGGCAAAGCTACAGTAATTGCTCATCAAAACAACATAAAGAACTTTAAGTAACTATTGGCGGCCAATATTGCCATGGGATGGATCACTTAGATTCTTAATAGCCAAGATGGGTACTTCTTCTTAGGTATATCAAGAACCACGTTCACTTTTAAGTTTTAAGATCCCATTGGCGAATAAAATGATAAAATCATACAGACAGAAACAGAATGAACGGTATCATCATATAGCTCAAGGAACCGGTAACTACCCATTTGTTCCCCCCTCCATCACTAACCTACTTAATGGACACAATCTCCATACCATTACAAGTTTCAGAGCAACTTTGAAACACCAGTTTGACACAGTATATAAAACTACTGTTCATGGTTATGATATGGTGCCCGTGCTACTTTTAACAAGTATTAGCTAGCACTTCATTAATAAACCCACAAAGCAATTCAGCTAATAAAAATCGATGAGTGCTGAAATCCCCATTGGAAAACAAAAATTTTAATGCATTTCAACACTTTGCAAGTGCATCAAGTAGAAGGCATGGCTACAAACAGTACACGACTTAGGCACATAAAAAAATATCTGAATAATCATCACTAATTTACCAGAGCCTAAGTTAGACATGAGATTTACATAAAACGAACCTATACAATATGTGCATAATCCATATGGGGTTTTGG